CTGCAGGTGGGGAAGTCTCTTTCTCGCTGCCGAGCCCTTGCACTATGCGGTTGCTACTATTCCCTTCTGCCGCACGCCCGCTGGGGCTGTCGCGCGCGTGTGCTTCGACGCCAGGCGTGCACGCTGCGGCACCGGCTCGCTCATGGCGAGTCCGAGGCCCAACTAAGCGTAAGTACTTTGATGGCGCTCCTGTGGCTCTGCAGCGTCGAGAGCACGCACGGCGCGGGGAGGCCGGGACGGCAGGGGGAGGAAATGGACCAGATGTTTGCAGCGCACGCACCACGGTCAGGCTCGCATGTGGATCACAACGCGCACGCGCAAACATACCAAGGCGAACAGTCCAGAGCAAGCCCCTCAGGCGTCCTCCTCCTCCTCCTGCTCCTCCTCCTCCTCCTCCTCCTCCTCCTACTGCTCTTCCTGCCCCTCCCCCCGCTGCCCCTCCCTTACCCCCCCCGCTTCGTCCTCACCCTCGTCGTCCTCGTCGTCCCCTCCCATGGTCGACGGCACCGGCCGCGAGGCCTTCGCAATACACTAAAGCGAACAATCCAGAGCAAGCCCCCCAGCCTGCAACACAGCTGAGACACCAATGGCCTTCTCCGCACTGCTGCACGAGATCCTGTACGCCAGCATCTCGGAGCAGTCTTGCTCGACATCGTGCCCAGCCGTGCAGCCAACTGCCAGCCGACACCCATAGGCCTCAGGCATCCCAAAGACCTCCATCGACAAGGCCGCCTACCATCGCGCCTCCCGAAGCACGAAGCGCGAATGATTTCGCGCCCTCGCGCCGCCCAGGGGAGAAGAGGAGGATGAGGAGGAATCGGAACCGAACCGCGAAGCGCGAAACGCAAATGACGTCGCGCCCTCGAGGACGCCCTTGCATCGATGCAGACCCTGGGGCCTCTTTGGCTCCATGTCTAGCGCCAGGAGGGCCTCGGGGTGCAGTGCACGGGGCTGCCGGACGTCCATGGGGTCGTTTCACCGGTGTGGCTGCGAACTCGCGGGGGGCGGCCGTTCCCTTTCGCTCGGACCGCGACGACGGCACCACGAGGGTGCCGAAACGCAGGTCTGGGCGTGTTGCTGCCTGGCAGTGCACCTCTTTGCGGCGCTGTGCACCCCGCAACGCTTGGCGCGGGTGACGTCCGTGGACGTCCGAAGACGTGGTTGGTTCAGTCCGCGCGTCTACAGGAGGTTTCGGCCCCTCCCCTGGGTGGGAACCTTTTGTCCTGGACTCACGCGGGACGGCCCTGGGGCCCAAAGACCGCCCCCGAAGCCGATGGAGGGACAACTACCGCCGGCAGACGCTGGTGCGGGGGGTCGGTACCGGGCAGGGCGCACTGGGCGCGGGGCGCAGAGCCGGGCGAAAAAACTGAGGTCGGCGGCGGAGGCAAGGGGACAGGACTCCAGAGATAGACGAAAACACGCAAACAAAAAAAAATGTGAGAACAACCCTAAATAAAAACATGTGTTATATATACATATATGTGTGTGGCCCACTCCTAGAGGCATCCCAAATGGGATCCGAGTAGATGGGGTCGAAATGTCGCGCAGCATCGCCGATGCATCGGCGGCGCATCAACGGCGCCAGCGCGGCGCAAATCGGGCCTCCACATCGAGCCGAATCGCCGATGCATCGCCGATGCGGCGCGACCCTCCGACCCCATCTACTCGGATCCCATACGGAAGGCCTAAAACTCCGAGCTCGCCCCCAGCACACGGGGGCGACCCCGCGCACTGGGAGGGCGCGGCCAGGCTGGGCCTCGACGCGCCGCGAACCGCCCGCCGCGAAACTCGGGGGAGAACCGCGCGCGGAGCGGGAAAAGGAGACGAGGGGAACGGAGGGCGGGCGGCGGGCGGGAGATGGGGGGCAGGGAGGAAGGACTAGAGAAATGGATGCAGGAAGTGATCTGTGAAGGCGAATGTTCTTGCAAGCGGAATGCGGATAAGGCGTGTGCAAGGCGGGAATAAGGCAGGAATAAGGCGGGTATAAGGCAGGCGCGCTAGGCACGTACCTTGAAGCCAAACGCCCAGGAAAACAACATAGCAGGCCACGCAAGGGACTACCGTTGGAGTCTGGTGCTCAGACGAATCCCATGTGCCTCGTCGGTCACCGTGCGCAAACCGCACAGGAATCCACGAAGCAGAAGTTCAGGCTTCGGCAGGGCGCGCTGACCGCATCCTACCGAGAGCACGGAAGCACAGGGGCCTCGAATGACCACCCTTTTAAAGAAGATGCCTGGCAACAGACGATTGATGGAGCAATGCCTCATAGATGCAGCTGTTCCATCAACACAGTTTTCGGGAGCAGCACTCACGTGAATGCTCAGCTTGCATATTGTTCCTGGCTGTGGTTGCCCGCGAGATTTGAAGATCCGATGACTTACTCGCCCTGATCGCACTTCATCTGGGTGAGACTGCTGCGCTGGGAATTCGAGACGGCGTCATTGTTTTCCTCGTCGCTCAGATTGACGGTGTTGTGGTCGTAGCTGATTCTACCGTCCACAACGTCCACGACGTTGGCGATGAGCTCCCGGCCGACGCTGCCCTCGGTCATGGGGTCGGCTCTCATGTCCCGAATGCCGCACCGGAACATATCCTTCATCCGCTTGGAGTGGAGCGGGTCAGACAACCCCGATAAGCGACTGGCCATGCCGTTCTCGGAAGGCGGCCGAGCTGAATCCATGGCCAAGGCGATGAAAACGGACATGCCGCCCACGACTAGCTCTGCAGGCATCGCGCGCCCCCCCCCCCCCCAAGCTCCCCGATCTCTCCGGCCGAGGCGGGGCCGAGCACCATCTCGCGAAGCGCGAGGAGGCACGCCTGCAAGCCGCCTGCTGCCCCGCACGATGCGAGCAGCTCCGGGCCGAATGACGATCTGCACACCAGCTTGCGCGATCGGCCCACGGCAACCAGCAAGTGGCACGCCGGTGTACCAGCGCGGCGCCACTTGCCCAGACGCACGCGCACGGCGCCTCTCGCGACGCATCCGATCTCCTCTTCTCTCTTAAGGACCCGTCGCTGCGCGCGCAGAGTCTCCCGCGAGTTCCACGGCTGGGAGCGCGGCGCGCACCTTGATCTTCTGCGCGGCCAGAACAGCGGAATTGAGCAGCTTGTTCTCGGCTCTCTGCCAGGCGAAGATGCACGCTGCGACGCGGCGCCGGGCGAATAGAGCGCAAGCTGCTGCTTCCAGGAGGGGGGCAACAGGTTTGGAGGCTGACCCTCAGCCAGCTCGCCAGCCTTGGCCTTGACCAGGTCGGCGCGCGCGATCGGCGCCTGGGCGCCGATGCACTCGCCCTGGCCGAGCGTCGCGGCACCGACGGCACTGCGACGCCGGCGCGCTCCGCAGTCGGCGAAGTCGTCGCAATAACCCTTCATCTTGCCGAAGACGATCTCGACATGGCTGATCAGCTGCTCGACGTGAACCTTGCACCCCGCGATCTTCGGACCGCGGACGCGCTTGAAAAGCATGAGCACTGACTCCGAACTGCAAGCACCATGGGTGCCAGATGTCTCGCGCTTGACCTAGAGTTCCACTGCGCTCTGGCGGGCGCGAGACCCAGGCGAGCCCCATTGAGAAGGCTCGGGGCGCGCCCTTGCAACGCATGCCCAGCTCGACGCAGCGCAGGCGCTCGGCCCGCTCGTCGCAACTCTCGCAGCCAGGCATCTGTCTTAGTCTTGGGATAGCTGCACTGCTGCGTGGCAGGGCGAAGTTCACATCGCGGGGCGCCTCACCTTGTTCCGTCATCTCAGCGCAGGCAATGCCCTGCAAGAACGCTTCCTCGACAACCACGGCGCCGCACACCCGGTCTGGTCGACGCGCCGCCTCCGGGGACAGCATGCGCAGCGACGCCCGCTTCGCCGCCTCCGAGAACGTCTCCAGGGCCCCGGCGCCCATGTCGCGGAAGCCTCTCAGCGCCGCGCAACGCCGAATGATCCAGACGGTCTCGCCGCCCGGCCCCTTCCGGTGCTACCACTTGAAGACGCGCCTGGGGCCCGCGACGTTTCGGGCGCCCTCGAGCGGTCGCGTCTCGAGACATGCGCACTTGACCCAAATGGTAGGACCCTCGAGGATTGCCGCTGCGACCTCCTTCGACAGCCTCGACACTTCCGCGCCCGTCAAAAGGTAGGCGTCGCGCTCGACGAGGGCGGCCTCGACGGCGGCATAGATGTCAAGCACGGCTGTCCGGGAAGCGCCAGCGCCACAGTCGGCAGGTGCTTCCTCATAAAAACTCGGGAATGCTTCGCGCGCCCCGCGGTCGAGGTGCAACTCCACGTCTTCCCCCTTCGTCGCCCCCCCCCCACACCCCCCTCCAGCGCGACGTAGTCGCCCAGGGAGGCCCCGAGCAGGTAAGCAGCGGCACCGCGCGAGGATGCTCTGGCGCTGGCGCCGCGCCTCGAGGCGCCAGGGCCACTCGGAGGGCCTGCAGCCAAGACGGGCCGCAGCGGCCGCAGCGTGCTCGACAGCAGCGGAGATTCCATACTGTCGGCGCTCTCCAGCCCCCTCAGCCCCTGGGCCAGATCTTCTGCCCCCATCGACTTCGCGCCAGGCTGCCAACATCACATATTGGACGTGGCCAGAAAAGTCGCCGTCGGTCTCCACGGGAATAGCCGACAGGGCCGATGGCGAACCTTCCTGCGTTGGGCTGGCCGGCGCCCTCAGGGACGTCGATAACGCAGTCACCGACGGATCCGCCTGGGCCCTGCCCAACGTCTGCTGCCAGCAGCGGCTCGCCACCCAAGAGAAACTAGATGACGCGAGCTCCCTTCACAGAGAGCTCGCCGGGAAGCTGGGCGTCGAACCTGACTTTGTCGAGGTGAATATGCCGAATGTTAATGTAGTTCTGCGGGGTCCACCAGATAACCAGGCTGCGGGCGCAACCCGGCCAATCGCCAACAGATTTCTGGCCGCGCGTCAGACGCATGGCACGCACGTCTAGCAGCTGAGAGCATCTGCGCGACGGATGGCGTAGAGCTTCGACGATGTCGGGGCGCTGCCGCGTTTG